GGGAGGGGGAGGGGGAGGAGACGGTGCAGCAGCAGAGCCAGCAGAGCCTTGCAACATTGCAGAAGGTGAGGGAAAAAAAGGAGGATAATAAAAAGGGGGGGGGGGAAGGGGATGAGGGAGATAGAAATAGAGATAGAGATAGAGATAGAGGGAGGAGGAGAGGGATGACGCGGAGGAGACGGCGCAGCAGAGCCAGCAGAGCCTTGCAACGTTGCAGAAGGTGAGGAAGAAAAGGGAGGGGGATGGGGGTGGAGGGGGAGGGTGGAGAGGGGAAAGGGAGAGGGAGAGAGAAAGAGAAAGAGAAAGAGAAAGAAAGAGAGAGAGAGAGAGTGTAAAAGGTTATATACTGAACACCTTTATACGTAGGTTTTGCAGTAGTGATAGCTATTAACACGACTTATTCTTTTATTTCTAAGATTACCATAGCAACACAGATATAAACACTAACGAGACAAAGGGTAAATATAATTTGACGAACCAAACAACATTGCAATAGTGGGCACTCCACAAGGGGTTCATTGCATTAGCGGGGAAAAATCCACGATGAAAAACCCATTTTAATGGGTCTTGCTTGTGGAACTAAACTGCAGGTTGTTGCATACTTAATTTAGTTTAAAATAAAAAGATTATTAAGGTTGTTTTTTTTTTATTAACATCATTTTTATTTATCGTATTTATTTATTTATTTTTCCAACAAGGATTTGAGAGTGAAATGGAAAGAAAGAGGAAGGGAAAGAGAGAGAGAGTGAATTTTTTTCTTTTATTTGATTAATTAATTTTTATTATTCTTCAATGTTTTTCAACACGTCACTTTTTTTTTTCTTTTCTTTTTTTTCTTTTTTTTTTTTGTCTCCCAATGGGTTTCTAACCTTTATTTCATGTCCTCAGCAGGTCAAACTTGTCTATTTATTTATCTATTTATTTATTTATTTATTTATTTAATTTTTCAACTGGTCTCCTAACCTTTTCTTCCTTTCAACGTGTTCATTATAGCGTCTCCCAACAGGTTCTTGAGGACTTCCAGAGACGGCAGTCGCGGGAGATCCTTGACGCGACGGACAGGCAGGCGAGGGCGCTTCAGGAGGAGAAGCAGAGGAGCTTAGGACTGGAGGAGGACATTAGGGTGTTGAAGGTGAGAGAGAGGGGGAAGGAGAGAGAGAGAGAGAGAGAGAGGGAGAGGGAGAAGGAGAGGGAGAGGGAGAGGGAGAGGAAGAGGAAGAGGAAGAGAGAGAGAGGGAGAGGAAGAGAGAGAGTGAGGGAGGAGGAGGAAGGAGAGAGGGAGAGAGAGAGAGAGAGGGAGAGGGAGAGTGAGAGGAAAAGATGGAGAGAGAGAGAGAGAGAGATGAGAGAGAGAGAGAGAGAAGAGAGAGAGAGGAGAGAGGGAGAGGGGGAAGGAGAGGGAGATAGATAGATGGAGAAAAGAGATAGATGGAGAAGAGAGATAGATGGAGAAAAGAGATAGATGGAGAAGAGAGATAGATGGAGAGAGAGAGAGAGAGAAGAGAGAGAGAGAGAGTGAGAGATAGAGATAATTGAGTGATAGAGATATAGAGCAAGGGAGAGATAGACAGAGGAGATAATACTGATAATGATGATAATAATGATAGTGATGATGATGATGATAATGATATTGATAATAATAATGATAATGCTAATAATGATAATGATAATATTAATGTTAATAATTTTCATGATGGTAATATTATTTATTGAATAATTTATTTAATATTATTACTATTTATTCAATTATTGTCTAATTTCTTTACGGATTGACAGATGAACGAGCACACGAAGGAATTCGAAAGAGCGAAGAAGGAAGAGGAAGAGAAGATAAAGATGGAACTGGAGAAAACCAAGAGAGAAGAGGAGAGGATAAAGACGGAGCTGGAGAAAGCGAAGAGAGAAGAGGAGAAAGCGAAGAGGGAAGAGGAGAAAGCGAGGACGAGACCAGGGCGAATGGGAGAAGGGACAGAAAGCGATAAAGGAAGAGAGAGACCAACTGCGATTGGCTAATGCGCAGTTTAATAACCAGTATCAGGAACAGAGCAAGGAGGTAAGGGAGAGAGAGAGAGGGAGAAAGAAAGAGAGAGAGAGAGAGAGGAGAGGGAGAGGGAGAGAAAGAGAGGGAGAGAAAGAGAGGGGAGAAGAGAGGGGAGAGGGAGAGAGAGAGAGGGAGAGGGAGAGAAAGAGAGAGAGAAAGAGAGGGAGAAAGAGAGGGAGAGAGAGAGGAGAGAGAGGGGAGAGGGAGAGGGGGAGGAGAGAGGGAAGGGAGAGAGGGAGAGGGAGAGAGAAGAGAGAGGAGAGAGAGAGGAAGAGAGAGAGAAAGAGAGGGAGGAAAGAGAGGGAGAAAGAGAGGGAGAGAGAGAGAGAGAGAGAGAGAGAGAGGAGAGAGAGGAGAGAGAGAGAGAGAGAGGGAGAAAGAGGGAGAGAGAGAGAAGAGAGAGGAGAGAGGAGAGAGAGGAGAGAGAGAGAGAGAAGAGAGAGAGAGAGGGAGAGAGAGAGAAAGACAATAAGACTTAACAGAACAGTAAGACAGAACCCCAAAATCACTCACAAACCCCCTCCCCCCCCTAGCTGGGGCCAATTCGCGAGCGCGAGGCGGCTGGCGAGCGAGTGCGAGGAGACTGAGGCAACACCTGATAAACGTTGGAAGAGGCATACACGCAAGAGATAGTGAAGGGGGAAGAGAGGGAGACCACGCTAAAGAAGGCGCTAAGCAAGATGGAGGAGAGGATGGTGACCGTGGCGGCCAGGTAAGCGAGCTGTGTTTTTTTTTTTTTTTTTTTAAGCTGTGGTTATTTTTTGCATTTTATTTAGCTATTTCTTTTATTTATTTATTTATTTATTTTTTTTTTTTTTGAAGCTGTTTTTTTTTTTCTCTTTTCTCTTTTATTTTCATTTTTTTCTTTTTCATTTTTCATTTCTCTCTCTCTTTTCTCTTCTCTCTTTTCTTCTCTTCTCTTCTCTTCTCATTTCCTCTCTCTCTCTTCTCTCTCCTCTTTTCACTTTCTCTTCTCTCTCTCTCTCTTCTCTCTCTCTCTCCTCTCCTCTCTCTCTTCTCTCTCTCTCTTCTCTCTCTCTCTCCTCTCTTCTCTCTTCATTTTCTCGACCCATTATCACGTCCTCTCTCTCTCCTCCCCACAGCCCTCTCCTCTCCTCTCCTCTCTCTCTCTCTCTCTTCTCTCTCTCTCTCTCTCTCTCTCTCTCCTCTCTCTCTCTTCTCTCTCTCTTCTCTCTCTCTCTCTCTCTTCTCGTTTCTCTCATTTTTTTTATTTTCTCTCTCTCCCCCCCTCAGCAGAGGCCCCCCCCCCTCCCCTCTCTCTCTCTTCTTCTCTTTTCTTCTTTTTTTCTTCTTTTCTTCTCTCTTCTCTTCTCATCTCTTCTCTTCTTATTCCATTTTTATTTTTTTATTTTCTCTCACTCCCCCCCTCTCTCCCCCACAGCCAGAGGCCCCCCCCCCCTCTCTCTCTCTTCCTCTCTCTCTCTCTCTCTTCTCTCTCTCTTCCTCTCTCTCTCTCTCTCTCTCTCTCTCTCTCTTTCTCTTCTCTCTCTCTCTCTCTTCTCTCTTCTCTTCTCTTCTCTTCTCATTTCCTCTCTCTCTCTCTTCTTTTCCTTTCTTCTCTTCTCTTCTCTTCTCTTCTTATTCCATTTTTTTTTTTCTTTTCTTCTCCCCCACAGCCAGAGGCCTTCCCCCACACCGAGGCCGTGTGGAGCAGCTGCGGGAGATGACGAGCCAGCGGGACGACGCGGTGCTCAGGCTGCACGACGCGGAGGAGGACGGCGCAGCAGAGCCAGCAGAGCCTTGCACGTTGCAGAAGGTGAGGAAAGAAAGGGAGGGGGGGGGGGGGGGGGGAAGGAGAGAGAGAAAGAGAAAAAGAGAGAGAGAGGAGGGAGGGAAGGAGGAGGAAGAGGAAGACAGGGAGAGGGAGAGGGGGAAGGAGAGGGGGAGGGAGAGGGAGAGGGAGAGGGAGAGGGGGAGAGAGAGAGGAGAGAGGGAGGAGGGAGAGGGAGAGGGAGAGGAGAGAGAGAGAGAGAGAGAAGAGAGAGAGAGAGAGAGGAGAGGGAGATAGATAGATAGATGGAGAAGAGAAGAGAGATTGAGAGAGAGAGAGAAGAGAGATTGAGAGAGAGAGGAGAGGGAGATAGATAGATGGAGAAAAGAGATAGATGGAGAAGAGAGATAGATGGAGAAAAGAGATAGATGGAGAAGAGAAGAGAGAGAGAGGAGAAGAGAGAGAGAGGAGAGAGAGGAGAGAGAGAGTGAGAGATAGAGATAAATTGAGTGATAGAGATATAGAGCAAGGGAGAGATAGACAGAGGAGATAATACTGATAATGATGATAATAATATAAGTAATGATAATAATTAATAATGATAATAACTATAATAATGATAATGATAATGATAATAATTTTCATGTAATATTATTTATTGAATAATAATTATTATTTATTCAATTATTGTCTAATTTCTTTACGGATGACAGATGAACGAGCACACGAAGGAATTCGAAAGAGCGAAGAAGGAAGAGGAAGAGAAGATAAAGATGGAACTGGAGAAAACCAAGAGAGAAGAGGAGAGGATAAAGACGGAGCTGGAGAAAGCGAAGAGGGAAGAGGAGAAAGCGAAGAGGGAAGAGGAGAAAGCGAGGACGAGACCAGGGCGAATGGGAGAAGGGACAGAAAGCGATAAAGGAGGAGAGGGACCAACTGCGATTGGCTAATGCGCAGTTTAATAACCAGTATCAGGAAACAGAGCAAGGAGGTAAGGGTGAGAGAGAGAGAGAGAAAGAGAGGAGAGAGAGGAGAGAGAGGAGAGGGAGAGGGAAGAGAGAGAGAGGGAGAGGAGAGAGAGGAGAGGAGAGAGGGAGAGGGAGAGAAAGAGAGGGAGAGGAGAGAGGGAGAGAGAGAGAGAAAGAGAGGGAGAGAGAGAAGAGAGAGAGAAAGAGAGGAGAAAGAGAGGGAGAGAGAGAGGAGAGAGAGAGGGAGAGGGAGAGGAAG